GCCGGTATTTCATGCCAAATTGCACGAAACCATATTTCTGAACAAATGTAGATTGCCTTGTTTAAAGATTCAACTTTGTAGAACAGATTTTCATTCAAAAAGATACATTATCTGTAATATTGAAGCTGTAGGAAGACGACAATTTTCAACTTTTGCAATTTCCGAAAATTTTAGTAAATTTCATTAAAATTTAGACATGCGCAGTGTTTTTTGTTCTCTCTAAGAAGACGATTTATTGCTTAATTTTCATTTTTGAGAAAAATTAGAAATGTCAATTCTTCATGTATAGTACTTTCAAAATGAACAATTCCTTTTCAAATTGAAGGGGGCCACGTCATCAACGAGATCTAAATGGGAATATCAATTTTGATGAAAATCCTGCTTACGGTTAACCCGCTAGCGTCGTTCGGACAGACGGACAGATTGGCACACGTTTTCTCGTAATCAATTTTCGTTATCAAGGACCCACAAAAGATTTATTCTGACTACACAACGTGTTGGAGAAAGTAATTAACCACATATTTGAACAAGTGTTATCCTATCTGTCGAAAAATCCTCAACATTACATTACTTATTCTATACTTCGTATGTCGTAGGGGAGAAAGTAAAAAAAAAAAATTAAATGTTTTTTCGCTGCTTCTCGTTTTGGCTTTTAGACGTTTCGGGCTGACTAGAAAAATGTTCATAACATCTGTGGCAAGAATACAGCACTTAAACGCGTCAGAAGGTCACCACCCTTCGTGTGGCGTGCAGACAGTTCTCCGGCACGGTCCGTCCCTTTCATCCCCTGTTATTTCCTTCAACTCCGGGTCTCCTAGCCTGCCCCTCCCTCCGTTGCCACATCTCGCGGGCTCCTTTCCTTTCCACCCTACCTCTTTCCTTCCAACAGTCCGCCCTTGGCTCAATTAAGCCTGACGGGCAACGCGCGACCACTGAACCGCGACTGCGGTGGGAGTTCGTACATTTTTATTCGCAGTAGGTGTGGGATCTCGGCATAAGAGTGAAGTGAAATGTTGGGGAGAGGAAGTCGAGGAGACATTTCGAAGTGCTGCTGATTCTATAAAAGGCAAAGTTAATTGATTTATCTTATAAAGGATTGATTTAATGCATTTAAAGATGCTCAAAAAATATTTAATCGGTTTATAAATTGGTTTATTAATTTTATATTTGAAGAAAATTTGTTCCTATCAATTATTTTACAGAATCGATACTTTTTCTGCTGTAAAACTGTCTTGTACTAGTCTGCTCGTACACTCTCGACCACATGTATTCAGGTGTGTTCACATCGGGTAGGTAGGTTGATCGAAATCGCCTAGTTTGGAGAAGACGTTTGGCGGCCGGTAGCTTTTCATTTTTCTCGGATTAATACCACGTGAATGCCAGAGCAGTACATTCTCATTCGGGCTATGGACCAGACGCAATCTTTCCTTCCTCTTCATTCTCTCTCCTTCCCCCTTACGCGCGCGCGCGCGCACGTACTACCACACGTCGCGAGATCAATGAGCAGCTTAAGAGTTTGTCTCGGCTGGGTCGGTGCTCCGATAATGGATACATCTTGAAGAGGGAACCTCGAAAGCTAACAAGTTGGAAGGCGCCTATCTCACGTTCCAGCGGCGAGGAACACCGCCACCTCAAGGGGCGCAACACGCTCTACACTTACGGGACAAATGATCATAGTTGGCTCATTGAAACACTAAATAATATATCTATATTTGTCTAGAGTCAGAATTGTATGGAAGGAAAATTATCCCGGGTACGCTGTTCTTAAATGTTCAAAGCAGGCATATATGTGTATATATAATGTTATGTAGGAGTAATTGTTCAAATTTTATTACTACTAAGAATAGTAATAGTAATTTACGTTTGTCCTTGAATGTTTTAATTCGTGGTCCCTGTACGTCCTTCATAAACTAATGAAGTGGTAAAAAGCGCCGACAGAGATGTATGTGAACAGCGTTGAACGCCTGCGCGGGCCTACCTAGCCCCTGGCTTCAGTGCGTGTCGGTCGGTGCAGCCCAGAGGTGCAGCCCGGGCAAGGAAGCGGATGCGGGCGCTGGGCGGGCGCGGGCGGGGTCGTCTCCGAGCAAGAGCGTTGGCTTGCGCCGAAGCGTCTCTCTCCCCTCTCCTTCCCCTCCTCGCTTGCTCTTCCGCTCACAATAAACCCGCCCGGGGTTCTGGGCCACGAAGCTCACCGTTGTCTGCTACGTACGTCAGTCACCCCTAGCGCTGGCTTGAACTCGGTAGGGGTCAATAAAGCTTTGGGGAGATGGCTTGTTTGATTTATATTATTATTATTATTATTATTATTATTATTATTATTATTTATTATTATTATTACTTTTTTATTATTATTTTTATTATTATTTTTATTTTTATTATTTTTTTGTCTGTGAAAATGTTTTCACATTTTAAATATCAACGATTTATATTCTATGTAATTCAAATTTGAATTATATTTTTTAAGAAAGGAGGTGAAGGACAGTGTGTTTAATATGTAAATGCTGTTCATGATTACACGATCTTAATTAGTTATTACAGTCTTTATAAAATGGTTTGTAAGGGTCTTATTTCAAAATTGAATTGAGTGAAAAAAAAGAAGACATTTCAAACTGTTGGAGCTGCTACTGTCAAAATGGCAAAGAGAATGCATCGGATCTTTTAATTGTGTAGATCTTGGTAGTGACTAATACAATTATGATTTTAAAGACGTGGCTCTTCGCTCGTCATTCTTTTCCTCGTGAAACAAAAGCATTGGGTATCGTTCTTTCATACCCTTTCAGTCTCCTTGAAACCGTGAGTCACATTTCCCGTCATTGTGGCGCCGACAGGAGGTGTAACGGTAGTAAGGAAGACTTTTCGTGCTTCACTAGAAATACTGCTAGGAATGCTGTTCTAACCGTAAACTGAAATGACAAATTTGTTTATTCTGACTGACACCACTAAATGCCATTCTGTCAGAATTTATAATTCTTAATATTAGGGAAATGTATGAAAACTTATTCCAATTCCTTTCTTTACTAGGAAATCCTTACGAATACCATACTTGTATTTCTCATTTTAGATACATGTGGTGCGAGCTTCAGAACTTAAAAAGTGTGAGTTAATTCAATCTACACGAATAAATAAAAAGTAAATGTAGTAGCATTGCAAACAACGAGTCAACAAAATATAGGTACAGTTTGTGCGAGTAATCTTGCGTAAGTAAATTCTAATCTCAATGCAATGCAAATTTAATCAAATTACAGTTGGAAATCTCATTTAAAAGCAGTCAGGCTGACTACCTCACTCACAGGAAATACGTTTGTAAGTTACACGTTAAAGAATGGGGTGTCAGATTTTAGTTATATTGAATGTCCATGCATTCGAAATAACGCGAGCAACGAAATGAACCAAACTATCTTACGATTTTTTTCTCAACAGATGGACATCTTAGAATAAATAAGAGATGACTATTCAACCTGCCCACAATAACCCTTTCGCTGACATTCTTTTTCGGGGACATTCTTCCTCGTACTCCTACCTTTATAGTACTGTGCTAAATGAGCCCCACTACTTTTGGAAATCATCTTGACGTCTTCCAATATTATTAGTGTCTATTTGCGTCTTGTGTTAAGAGTTATTGGAGTAATCTTTAATAATATTGATATATTAATAATTTTCATTAAAAAATTGGAAGTAAACCTCGAGATGTGAGAGATCTGTATCATTTCGCTCGATACTCAAAAACGCGGAAAAAATCAAAAACGTTGAAAGAAAATTTCGATCTTGACTGAAAAATGCAAATATTCGTGTTATTCCGTCAACTCTTACTGTGCATTCTGAATTGTCATTCTCAGTGTGTAACTGTTTATAGTTGACTTCATGCGATTGCAAGGCTACAAGGAAGAACGCCTGCCGTTAAATATTTGCTATCACATATTGTTATGCTTAGCAATTTTTTTCTATCCTTGGTATGTAAAGAACAGTTGTACAGTATATTACACGATGTTATTGCAGTATTCATGAAAGCTGTTTTGTTATAATATTTACTGTTGTGTTTTACGAGTGTGCTTAATTTGTTCTTGAACAGTGTGCGTACTACGTTTTGGAAAATTATTTTGCTTGGTTTGCATTATTGTTGCTACAAGCAAATAGAGCGTTATTAGTGCAGGTTAAGAAACGAAACTAATGTAATGAATATGTGTTTGCTATATTATTTAAACAAAAGTGCTGTGAGAATTTTATGCTAATTAATAAAAATTGCTTGATACAATTTCATTGAAAAAATGACGCCAAAATCTCTGTAAAAACGAAAAGATCTAGAAAATGGGGGGGGGGATTCTAGAGTGAAAGCATTTCACTTCAGGCAGATTATAGCGCAGTTTTTCTTTCTTTCTTTCTTTCTTTCTTTCTTTTTTTTTTTTTTTTGAAACCTTTTAAACCTATTTATTCTCCATACGCTACGTTTCCTCTACCTCTACCTTCAAACTGTAGATTGGAAATACTCCCTCAAGAAGAACGTGCCTTAACATGAGTTTTTGGCCATTAAAGAATCTAGCAAAAATCATGCAAATAGTCGCGTCAGCCGATCGGAACAAGAGCTCTCTCCCGAGGAGGTACACTTTTTACCCAACTCAGCTGGACCGCTGCCGTCGCCATAAACACTACCATCGCCTTCGTCACTTCTCCTTCGCTCCCCATCCTCATTCCTCGCGCCATCACCCGCCATCACCCGCCATCACCCGCCATCACCCGCCATCACCCGCCATCACCCGCCATCACCCGCCATCACCCGCCATCACCCGCCATCACCCCTGCGCAGTCTCAGCTGCCTGCCTGCATTGCCCCCTCACCGCGGTATACCTGCAGCGTGGCCGCCGCCGCCTCCCTCGCCACCGTAGTCGCCTCCGGCCACGGTCAAGGCCGCGCGGTGCCCGCGCCGCGCAGCGGCCTGGCGGGCGGGGGTGGTGGGGGGACGTTGTATTTACCCGGTGGGCGCGCGGGGACCGGTCCGCGGCCCCCGCAGTGCACGCCGTGGCCGCCACGAGGAAGCATCGCAGCGCATAGCGGTGCGGCGCGAGACCCTCTTAGAGAAAGCGGGCGATCGAACACCCGAAACGTCTACCGCAAACGTTCCCAAAAGGTACGTTTTTCATCTGTTTCTGTAGTTCCGCCGGGTTGGTAAACGTGGCTGTGTACTGGCGGTTACTGAATATGGTTTCAAAAATTCTTCTGTACATTCCGTATACTATTTTTTTCCGAATATTATTGTGTTAGTGGGTTTCAAAATATGAAGCGATTTGTGATTTGTACTGAAGAATAGGTAGGTCGATGTGTTACTTAGCAAATAAATCGTAGTGAATTGTGTGTAATTATTGTAATTTGTGGCATTAGTTGACGTTTCTTCAACAATGTAAATTCATGATTTTTAGATCCTCACAGGCTATGAAGTACTGGAAATATACTGAAGTGTACTGAAAATATTTCATGGCAATTTTCGTTATTTGAGTAATGTTACATTTACATTCTATTTTTGTTAATCTTAGAATGCTTTGGCGTAATCTTCAGTTAATACACATTAACTTATTAATACATTTTTTTTAAAAAATCCTGTACCTTGATCTAATTACTTATTCTTCTGAGGCTTACTCAAAAACATTTTTCTCGTCAATTCTGTGACGAAAATGTCAATGTGAGGAAGACTTCTTGAATACCAGTTATTTCATTATTCTATTAATTTCTGTGGCTTCTTAAGCAACCAGGCGAAAAAATGGATGAGGGGAGTGAAAGTTGATTTGCTGAATGATGTCAGGTAGGAAAAAGGAAGGAATGAAAGTAGGGAGCCGAGTGGAGATGTCTACATAACTACAAAAACAAAAAATAGAAACGAAGTGCCATGGCGAACTATTTGCTTACCGCTCTCTTCACGTCGCTGCTTACGAAATCTTGCCAGTTTCATTGTGCAAATACTCGAAACACGTCGTTCAACTTTCATCGAAGTTTTCTCTCTGACGCTGTGTTCCCCATGTGACAATATTGAAATATGCTCCGATATTCTCGTTAACTAATGCTAAAATTATCTTCAAGTTTGAAATAAATATTGAACTTTGGTTTTGTGTATGATATGTATGAGAGGGGAGCTGTGCATAGAGATATTTAAAAGGTAAATGAATAAGTTTTAATGGTTTGTAGTTTTATTGTTAATTTTTTTAAAATTTTCTTCGTAAAAATCATTAACTTTCGTTTTAGTGTTCGATATTTTCCTTTCACAAAATCAAAAACACTAGACTAGTCATTCTCCTTCATTGTTTTTTTTTTCATTATCTTATTCTGCAGTATCGGACTTATTCAAACTAGCTGTCATGAACTGTGAAGTCCAAACGCAAATGATAAAATGCAGTTTCATTTGTCAAAAGAGATCGTCCATAAATTACGTCACGGTAGAGAGAGGGTTTGAGGCAGCGTTACGCCGCGTGGTATTGGGGAAGAGTGTCATTGTGGAATGTTAGGTAATGCTGATTGTTTATAAACATTTTCATCAACTGAAATAATTTATTGTATTAAGTCTTGTACTGAAACATTAAAGTAATAGCAAATCAATTTACTTATATATTTTAATTTAAAGTTATGATGTTTAAATTGTGTAATAACTCAATTATTTTTCCGTCAATTGTAGATTCATTGAATCTGTTAGATTAGAAACAAAACATTCAAAATTGATTTCTAGTATATTCTCGAAACCAATTAAAAGAAGACTCAGCACCCTCTACGACGGCATGTGCATGGCTTGTCAGATTTTTTTCACCTTTATCAGGTGCACTTGGAATCGTCAACTAATTCTGACTTTAATTATCATAAATTTTAATAAATGATACAAAATTAATGCAACTCATTGTTACTGGCTTATAATTTATTTTAAGTTATTTAAAATGGGGGCGATGCCTTGTCCCAAGCGTAATTATTTAGGGGGAGTTTAAGTGTGCGTTACTTGTGCATTACGGGAGGGTGGGAGAGGTAGTACTCGATATACTCCAAATGTGCGTTTCGTAATTTATGGACGGCCTCAAAGTTCAATTGTTGATGTACAAATATTTTTCATTATGGTTCTATAAATAAATATGTTATAAATATTTATATTCGTGCATTTGGTTGCGAGTGTTCAAGGACTTTTAGTAATTGTTTCAACTTCGAAATTTTTCCCATGCGGGTGTATAAATAATGTTCTTTTTAAATTCTGCATGTGTAGAGAGCCCGCAACTCAAATGTGACTCTTTCCTGCGTTGCATTTCACGGATTAGGCACGAATAGTTGTTGAATGAACTATTGATTTTAAGTGGCTTTCCGAGGAATTTGCGTACACTGGGTCGGGAAAACATGTACGTATGCTAGTGTCAAGGAGAAAAGGTGCACAATCAGGAATGCATCAATTACCATTGACGAAAGAGATAATTTTAACGTGTTTGAATAAATACAGAATCTTGAGATTTGCCGGATTACAAAAATGATCGTCAAATAGGACACTGGTTTGTATGAACGAGTATGATCGTGTTAATTTTCTGTCCTTAAATGGACAATTTAAAAAGTAGACCTTCGTTTTGATTTCTTGCCTTAATTCGTAGTTTTCAGGGGTTTCTCTGTTATGAAACATCGCGATTTGGTATTGACCTCATTTGACACGTTTTAATCATTAAATACTGTTAGATTGTTTGATATTCGCAGCTACTGCTTGCTTGACTAGTGATTCCGACAAGTCAACTGCTAAGGTCAATAGGCCCATAAGTGTAATGCGTGTTTTTCCTTGCAAGGTGGTGGTGATCTCTCCCTACTGAATAGTGAGCCCCGGCGCCGACCTGTACCTTGGCTAGCGGGCATTTCTCCATCCAACTATCTCCCACCAGCGAGGCCCCTGCCGAAACAAGCTGTAAACCCCTCTCTGGTCTCCCGGCATTTACGGTAGTGTAGTGCATGATAGTGTAAATATGTGAGGATAGAAGGATGGGGAAGGAAAGATCACATGTCACTTTCCTAAGGCACGGCTTTGGCATTCGCCAGACATTCATCGGGGAAACAACAGAAAACTATTGATCAGAGCACCGGGTGCTGGAATTCTCTTCCAGATAGCGGCTGAATTATCTATGTAGTTAGTGTCAAATCCTGCCACCGTCGGGACTCGAACCTAGGACCTCCCGGTTAGAGGCACTGCGTTTATATCAGTTGATGCCCTGAGCCATCTGCTGCCACAACACTGTTACTTCAACCGTTGCTCACAAAGTTCAGTTTAGAAATCTTGTTAGGATAGCTGTTGGTCTACATTTACCCGTCCGGAGCTTAGTGTAATTTGTATATAGATGTCTCGTACATGAGCGAAATGTACTACACTATAATCTAGCAGTTTAGTGTTATTTTGAAAAATGCAGCTGCTAGCAATTTATCAGAAAATACGAAGAATCTCAATATGCAATCGCCAGTTATCTCCCCAAATGTTGATTGACAAATGATAGTGAGAAGCGTGATATGTTGTTACGGACTAATTTCCGGACTCTCGTGGTACTAACAAGTATTCTGAATCTATTCACTTGCGAAGTTGTGATATATCATTGCATATTTTGCGATTTGGAAATTTACAATTAGTATCGTAGAGTAGTCAGATCAATATTGGTATCAAATGTTCAGTGGTGGAGAAGACTGTTCATCACCTATTATAGGTGATGTTTGCAAGTGGAACAAATTCAAACAGGCGCCTGGAGAACCAATTTAATTCAATAATTTATTGCTCCCCCAGCATTCCAAAACCCCCTTATGTTTCACAACATCTCTACATTAATATGTCGAAGTATTGTTTTTGTTTTGCTATTCAATATTTCTTTCGTTTTTATTTATTGGAGGTTCTACGAGAACTCATATCATACTTAACTAATCTAGACAAGACATTCTATGAGTACTATGCTTTGAATTCCCTTTTAAGTAACAATGCTTTTTATTTAATTATGGTTTGTTACACTGTACAATGTGAGAATTAACGTAATTTGACTATTGTGATTTGATCAAGAAGTTTTGGAAGGCATTTAAATTACATACTGCGAAACTTGACGTCTTATTTTCATTATCACTTTATAAGTACGAGAAATTACACCTAACATTCTTGCCCTTTAGGACTTCCTTTGATCAACTTGTGGGCCATCGGTGATCTACAGTCGGATGTAGACAAAAAGTTTACTGATCAGAGTTGGAAATAAAAGTATAAAAATGTGAGTTAAGAGAAAAACAATACATTTAATACCAATTGTAATGTCATATAAGATTCTTACAAATTGAAATGTAAGCCTTATATTACTTATTTCAAGTATACGCTTGGTCTTAATTTTTTCAAGATAATATAAGAAAAAAAAAGCCATAAAAATTGAGCTGAAGTACCTCTACAGTACCGGTTTTGCACAAAAACACATTTTCGGCACTGAGCAAGATTAATTGTGAAGCACGAAATATGTAACCCGCCCTAACCTCTGAACTGGTCGTCGCAACCGGCGGCACAATAACGGCACCCGCCCCATGCTGCGCTCTTGAAGGCGCCTCGCGGTTTGGTTTGCGATTACGTGCGCTTTTTCGGTTTCGTAGGAACCGTGAAGCAATTTGCTTCTTTCTTCGTATGAACTCGTCTGAGCGCTCGAGAGCTTTACGATCTCTTTTGGTACTTCTGGCTTTCGTAGGTACTGGTGCGGAATGACCTAAATTACCGATGGTTTAACGATTTTACCTTGTTCACTGAGAATAACTCTTCTCTTTCCTACTTTGAATAGTTTTGTCTTATCTAAAGTGGTGGAGGTGGCCCAGAGCATCAACTGACACAACAATTCACACATGTCTATGACCGGAAGATCTTATGTTAGTCTCGATGGTGGCAGGATGTTTGACACTAGCTAGATAGCTACCACACATGCCGGGAGACCGGTCGGGAACCTAGAGCTTGCCCCAGCTGAGGCGATGCCCCACTGGAGGGAGATCCCTGGTCGGGGAAATCTCTGTATGTCGGCGCCGGATCTCACCATCCAGCGGGGGAAGATCACAGCCCCCCCTGGCCAAAACAATATGCACCACACTTACGGAACGAAAGACCTTCACATTCGACGCGCTCGAAATCACTAATCAATCAATGACTTGACTCATCAAAGTTAATAATTTACTTGAAGCTCTAGATGATGATGATGCATGAGTCACTGGTGTATCGTTTCTCGCTGCGCATTCATCGTTAATTCTTCGCGCAAAGTTTGTTTCAAGACGCTTATCAAAATCTACTCGATGATGTAAGTGTCCAAATATGCAACTGGCGCACCATTAGCAGCCGTCGATAGTCTCTTAAGAATACGAAAATACGAATCCATATGTGCATTCCTGGGTGCTCCATCGTTTGGGACACGAGATTTTTACGTAATGAGTGGAGTTTTCTTAATGTAAGATCTGACTATTTCCTCCCGGAGGCAGTGTACTGAAAGGAGACTTCCCTGTTCATTCATATTTTTAGATTGTGATTAATAATTATTATAAATTCTAATCGTAATATAATAATGATTATAATTGATGTTCTCAATAAACAAGTTGAGCTATATTGTTCACTTTTTCCGTTCTTACTCTCCTTTGGCTATGCTGCTAGTCTAGGTAGCCAGGATACAGTCCGTCCATTAATTTAATGAAGTATTTGGCGACAACAAAAAAAGCAATGATCGCAAACTCTGTCCTGAGGACTCCATATGAGAGCAGCCTTAAACATTTTTACAACAAAAATACGTGCATAAACATTAACAACGTATGTGATTTGTATTAAACTTATTCATATGAATGAGAGATTATTAAGAGGTATAATAGAAATCTTCACTTGTTCAATAGTTGTCTTCACCATATGCCAATTTCTTAATTTATTTTTATTTCGGTAGTGAAAAAACATTAAGTATTATTTTAATAAATTCATTATTTCACAAAATATTTAATAGACTCAATGTGATAAGTAACTAATGTATTATTTTAGTAATTGAAATTATCATAAAAAACTGAAACTTGGTTATTATTTTACATTATACAAAAAGAAAAATGTATTCTAAAAGGTGGCAACATTTTAAAATAGTCCACGCTTCCCTCTCGTCATACAAGAGCTTAGTTCCCCCCTCCCCCAAACACTTGAATATATTATTCAATATAATTTGAAATACGTTAATCAAACTACTAATTGTAAGTTCATCGAAATGTATTCAAGAAAATAAATGTTTGTTTTATAAAAAAATATTTCAAAATTCACCTAACATTTTTAGTTTCGATTAAATTATAACAGATTAATTAGGGCAAAATTATCATTCAAATGATAGTTTATATGATTTCAATTAGTCGATTAATAATAATTGTTTAATGATATTGGATTAATCGTTGCCCTCATTGCATCATGGTCCGCAGCCTAAAACATACTCGTAGGCGTGCCCACCGTAAGGAAGAAGTGGGATCAACCACATTTCTGGATTCCCTTTTCCATTTATTTCTTTTATTTACGTATGAAATATTTAGCAAGTTAATAAGTAAATCAAAATTATTTAACTCTTCTTAATGATAAAATGAATAAATACAATGGATTTTGTGTTGAACTTCTTACCAGTTTCCCCTTTTCGCAAGCCTCTTTGCTATAAGTAAAACAACTTCACAAATTGTCAGATTAAAAAGGGAGAAGATAGGGAGTGATCATATTTAGGTGAACGTTTATTACCTATGGCTAGGGGACATTTTTCAAAATTTTTGGTAAGACCACGGCTCCGTGCCATGTCCCTCCCTCCCTATTTGCGCACGCCTCTGCTCATGACTGCTTGTAAGTGGAGTAAAATGCTACCGCGAAAGGAACAAATAAGATTTTAGTTCTGTTGTTACGAAAGCAAACGTCTGAACCCGTAGACTCTAACTCTGAAACATTGTCGATATTTTTTGTCGTGAATTGGCCATCTCGGGACTACACGGAACGTGCATCACACCGGTTCACTCTGTTATCTCAGTTGCATTTATTGAGGGTAGGTGCATTAATGGGAGGGATTAGCAATTTCGTACTGAATCCGTTTTTACATACCGAGGGTTGTTAGTCCTGGGGGAGGAGATGAAATGATAATGATGATGGATGGAATGAAGAATCACAAACAGTGATTCACACAATCACAATAAAGTCCGAGGCGGGACTCAAACCCCCGATCCTTCGATCTAGGACCGTTACGGTACTTCTGCCTTAGCGATCTCGACAACACGGATGGGATTATTATTATTATTATTATTATTATTATTATTATTATTATTATTATTATTATTATTATATTAGCCGACGTAGATAACCGATGTGGCTAAGAATGTGTACCAATGCAGGGCTTCGGTGCGAAGGGTCGCGGTTTCGAGTGCCGCCTTGGACGTGGTTGTCTGTCTTGTCTCCCATGTGTACTTGCGCAGGACCTCCCGTTCTGCTGACCCCGGGTCAGAGGAGCCCCCAAATGTGTTGTTGTGTAGTGCACTGTCAAATATGCGTCCCATCGGGACGTAAAGGATAACCGGTTTCAGCTGGATAAAAGCCCTAGCAAAAAATATTACTGTTGTTAATAATTAATTTTCCTGTATACTCAGAGTTCTTAGATTATTTGTTACTTTCGCTGTTAACTGTGAGCACCTACTCGTACTCAAAATTCACGAATGCGCAACATGCTGCATCTGACGCAAATAGGCAGCAGCGCTCCCAACATAATCAACACACCTAATGTGATCAAGAAACATCGCACATATTAGCACTGAATGAATGAAATAGTTTAAAGAATCCCTTGAAGGGCAAAATCCTCTCCTAAGGTATTATTAAGTAGATTTAGACAGAACCCAGAACTAAGCTATGATGTTTCTGAGTGTCATCTTAATGGTTATATGTAGATTAATAGTAATATTTTTCTACGTCCATTCCGCCAAACATCTCTTCTATTCTTCACAAATGTGTGCATTTCGAGGCCGTAGGGCATTTTTCATTTCCTTCACTCTTGCTCTTTGTTCAAACGCGTACTTGCTGTTCACCGAATCACAACACAGCATTATGGTGTGTCCCCAGCGGTCGTGCATTATTCTCATTACATGACTGATCCATTTCTTGGGTAAAATTTGGGCAGAACGAGGTGAACCTTTATTTGAATTCATCTGCCCTGGTTTAAAGTAAAAAGAGTGAATTAATATGTAGGTGAATGGATGAATGGAAGGGTATGTGCATTGATTGTGAGTCCGGGCGCATCAAAGCAGAGGTAATTAGTCCCGTAAATGTAATGCATGTTTTTTCTGGGGAAGGGTATTCCCTCGCTGGATAGCGAGATTCTGCGCCGACCTATCGTCGGCCAACGGATTTTTTCTGGACCAGGTATCTCCCACCAGCGGAGCACCTCCCCAGCCGAGACAAGCTCGAAGCTCTCGACCTTACCACCGTGTGGTGTCGTAGTGCATGTTAGTGTGAGTGTAAGTAAGGGATGAGAATCGTTCAAGAAAGAGGAAGGTAAGATCGCGCGCCGTCCGTGGCCCGTTTGTTAGGGTACTGCTGCGTCATTCGCCTTGTGTTGATCGGAGCAGGAATCGGAACTACCGATCAGAGCAGAGAAGTATACCGTCTCCTAAGATAGGTGAGCCACAGTCTGTGACTCATCTATCGAGTGAGAAAAATCGGATAGAAAAAGCAATAAACGTTTTGAGATATACCGCCCTAATTGGGGCATTTTGTATGTGTAGTTGAACACTATTGGTTTTAATTTCACGAGTGGAATAGTCAAAATAATCAAATGTTTGCTCACTATCATTTATATGATGAACACCAGTAATGATAGAATATGTAATCTCTCCATGCATTTAGATTCTTTATTACCTACGTTGACATAAGCATCTGACACCGAATCTCCAAATAGTATAACTTTTAGAAAGATGCATTCAAACTAAAGATTCTTCTGTCGCTCCGCTAGAATTCTCCTCCAGACAGCGACTGACTTCGACGTAGCTGATAAGCTAGTGTCGAAAATCCTGCCACTGTCGAGTCTCGAACGTAGGACCTC